TATTTTGCCCCGAGGGGCGAGTTTATTGGGCAGCGCCACTCATCCTGTGAGTGGACACTCCGCCATAGTGACAGTATTGGGCAGCGCCACTCATCTTGTGAGTGGACACACCGCCATAGCAGCATGTACAACACTCCCCAATAGGAAGAAAACCCGCTGGATTTTCTTCCTATTGGGGAGTGTTGTACATCCTATCACTTGTACCCAGACACAGCTGGGATTGAGTTAAACTACCAACCACAGGAGTATGGGGTGCACAATAATAAATCAGTCAACATATTTTAAACACGTTTCCGCTACAGCGTCATTGTTGCGTCACTGAATACAAGAGAGAGAGAGAGAGAGAGAGAGAGAGAGAGAGAGAGAGAGAGAGAGAGAGAGAGAGAGAGAGAGAGAGAGAGAGAGAGAGAGAGAGAAAGAGAGCATAATAGAGGATAGACTTCAAGAGGTGGTAAACTTTACGAGTGTGGCAGGTGGCCATGGAAGAATAAATGGGTGGAAAGAGAAGGGACGATAAGGGAGAGGAAAGGGGATAGGAGGAGAGAAGAAGCTCTTGAGCATCCTTGGCGAGTTTACCGTCTCTCGTGATAACCCACAAGTGGAGATCAAGGAGCGATGGGAGAGGGAGAGGGAGAGGAGGCTGGTGCAAGGGGAGGGGAAGGGGAGGAAGGGAGGGAAGGGGGAGAGAAGGGGGAGGGGTACCTGAACGAGGGGAAACGTTGATGAGTGAAGTGGCAGGAGTAATGTGGGATGGTGGTAGTGATGGTGGTAGTGATGGTGGTAGTGATGGTGGTAGTGATGGTGGTAGTGAAGACATATAAACATACGAAGCAAAGACACTGAAGAAGGCCTATTTATCCTACACGAAGCTGCTCCAAATTTATATCCACACAGACTACTAATATATATATATATATATATATATATATATATATATATATATATATATATATATATATATATATATATATAGTCTTTGAAAATGTAATACGAATTACGAAACGCGTTCAGGCGTCAGACAATTATAAAATGAATTTCGGAGAATTGTTATTATTATTACCACCGACAGTGAAGAAAAACATAAGACATATTGAGAAGATTCGTGTTAGAATTATTAATCTTACCTTTTCGGTCATATTCAACAACATATGTTTACAAGAAAGACTGCTACCAAAATATACTACTATATATATATATATATATATATATATATATATATATATATATATATATATATATATATATATATATATATATATATATATATATATACACAACACACACACACGAATGTCATACCTACGCTGGAAACACTCCTCCAGGCAGTCCCCGTCCATCATGTTACCCGGTAATTTGTTCCATAAATCAACAGCCTTGTTCCCAAAGAGAGGGGCCATTTAGGAGGAAATCGCAAGTAATCAGTTAAATGAGGCAGAAGTGACGAGAGATGACAGATGAGGATAGGAGGAGGAGGAGGAGGAAGAGGAGACAGATGTAAAAAAAAAAATAGTGGAAAAGGGGGGAAGGGGGGAGGGAAAGGGGGGGTGTAGAGCCCAGCGATGGACGAAAGTGATGGATTGAGGGGGTGATTGAGTCGGGTGAATGGAGGGGTAATGTAGAGTATAGAATGGATATCAGGTATGGGAGGGGGGGGGATAAATGGCAGGGGGGAGGGAAAGGGGGGAAGAGGGTTATAAAAAGTACCATAGTGGCCATACCCTGGTACTGCTGGTCATTTGTGACTGCCACATACAGACACAGAGGCAGAGAGAGAGAGAGAGAGAGAGAGAGAGAGAGAGAGAGAGAGAGAGAGAGAGACAGAGAGAGAGACAGAGAGAGAGACAGAGAGAGAGACAGAGAGAGAGAGAGAGAGAGAGAGAGGAGAGAGAGGGGAGAGAAAAAGAGAGATAAATAGGTAAAGACAATTAAGAAAAATAAAGCAAGTACGAAGTATAAAAAGAAGAAAGGACGCAAAGTAAACGGAGACCAAATGAAGGATAAAATAAAGCAAAATAAACGAAAACAATAAATGAATATAAACAGAATATATTGAGCTCATTTTGAGACAATATTATTTTTTTTAAATATTCACACACACACACACACACACACACACACACACACACACACACAGGAAGTGATGTGGTGGAGGCTGACTCCATACACAGTTTCAAGTGTAGATATGATAGAGCCCAATAGGCTCAGGAATCTGTACACCAGTTGATTGGCGGTTGAGAGGCGGGACCAAAGAACCAAAGCTCAACCCCCGCAAGCACAAATAGGTGATTACAAATAGGTGAGTACACACACACATACACACACAGAGGAGGCGAACAAATAAAGACAAATAAAGTATTCCAGAAAAAAAACACCGACATATGCCAGGATTTGTTTCCAACACAACAATGGTGTATTGTTGTTTGACTTCCCTCGTCATCCTCTGTAATCCTCTGTAATCCTCTGTAATATGAGAGGATGAAAGATATAGATCTGAAAGTCTATACTGAGTTGAAGAAATACAAGGCTATTTAAATGCAAGATATCTTGTATTTAATGTATTTTTGGCATAAATACAAGAAATACAATAACTCTAAAACAGAGATATACAACAAAATTAGTCGGAAATTAAGAGGCTTGGATTACAAGGAACAAGTGAGGGAACTGGATCTTGGTGCGGTAGAGAAGAGACGGGAAAGAGGAGACATAATTGCAACGTTTAGAATCTTAAGGGAGCATTTACAAAGTAGATAAGAACTGACTATTAGCAAGAGATATGATTGCGACGTAAACATCCTAAGTAGCATTGAGAAAACAGATAAGCACAGTTGTAATAACACTCCCTTATCCAACGGAGTACCTTCCCTTTCACTCCTGTATGCATCTCCAGCTTCCGCACTAGTCTCTGATGTGGTACTGTGTCAAAGGCTTTCTGGCAATCCAAAAATATGCAGTCTGCCCCCCCCCCTCTCTTTCCTGCTTGATTCTTGTTGACTGATCGTAAAAGTCAATTAATCCCGTGAGGCAGGACTTGCCATCTCTGAAACCATGTTGGTGTTGCGTCACAAAGTTCCTTCGTTCCAGATGTTCCACTAGTTTTTTTCGCACAATCTTCTCTATCGGCTTGCATAGTATGCAGGTTAGGGACACTGGCCTGTTGTTCAGTGCCTCCTGTCTATCCCCCTTTCTTGTATATCGGGACTATACGTGTGCCGTCTTCCAAATTTTTAGTAGTTCACCTGTTACCAGTGATATGCTATACGCTATGGAGAGTGGCAGGCACAGTGCTTCTGCTCCTTCCTTTATCCATTTGTGTATACTTACCTATTTGTATTTGTGCTTGCGGGGGTTGAGCTTTGGCTCTTTGGTCCCGCCTCTCAACTGTCAATCAACTGGTGTACAGATTCCTGAGCCTACTGGGCTCTATCATATCTACATTTAAAACTGTGTATGGAGTCAGCCTCCACCACATCACTGCCTAATACATTCCATCCGTTAACTACTCTGACACTAAAAAAGTTCCTTCTAACGTCTCCGTGGCTCATGTGGGTACTTAGTGTCCACCTGTGTCCCCTTGTTCGCGTCCCACCCGTGCTGAATAGTTTATCCTTGTTTACCCGGTCGATTCCCGGGAGGGGGGGGGGAGGGGGGTAAAAGTAGGCTTAAGCATCAAGAGAAACTATATATTATCTCCACTCACCAGCCTCCCAGTCTCTTCTACATCTCTTTACCTCTCTGTGCTCTCTCCTCCCTCTCTACACCCCCGTCTGTCTCCCCATGCCACCCCTTCTCTTCCCTCTGAACGTAGAAGATGGGGAGGAAGAGGGCGATGATTGACAGCTCAATCCCCCCCCACCATAACATCCATCTTGGGGGGCAAAGCTGAATAAAGCGATTTAATATTTTCAGTCGCAGAGCATAGATAGCTTCCTCGTGGAGTGAGCTTAAGGAACAGTGAAGCAAGCAGTGTGTGAGCTTAAGGAACAGTGAGACAAGCAGTGTCAGCTTAAGCTACAGTGACAAGCAGTACAAGCTTAGGGCCTTTGCCTAAACCTCCACCAGACACCACAGCTCCTGTGCCAGGTAAGTCCACTACGGGCTCACCATAGCCCGTGCTCCTTGCCCCGTTCCTGTGCCAGGTAAATCCACTGCGGGCTCACCATAGCCCGTGCTACTTGCCCCGCTCCTGTGCCAGGTAAGTCCACTAGGGGCTCACCATAGCCCGTGCTCCTTGCCCCGTTCCTGTGCCAGGTAAATCCACTGCGGGCTCACCATAGCCCGTGCTACTTGCCCCGCTCCTGTGCCAGGTAAGTCCACTACGGGCTCACCATAGCCCGTGCTCCTTGGAACTTGTTCCGAGTAGCTGAATCTATAACAACAATAACCTAAGCCTCTCAATAGCTTCAACGATTGTTAATAATTCTGTGTTTATGTATTCAGAGAACGACGTTGTTATACACCTCAACGACCCCATTCACGCAAGTAAGCTTCATTCACGCAAGTAAGCGCCCCATTCACGCAAGTAAGCGCCCCCATTCACGCAAGTAAGCGCCCCCATTCACGCAAGTAAGCGCCCCCATTCACGCAAGTAAGCTTCTTTCACGTACTGCAAATGCCACTAATTGCCAACAGACCCGAACCAACTAAAGCTAAACAAGGCCCAACTATACAACCCATTTCAGTTCACATTATTATATATTTATAAAAATACCTATTGTGAATACGCAGTGCGTTAAAATTGTCGAATGCGTCTTAGTGGTCGTGGCCGCTGCTCGAACGAGCCTAGCCTGAGCATAGGTTGATGTCTGAGGCGTCCTATTCAATAAAGATATTCATGGTCCATATTATTGTGTCTATTCAGTTATCATTCCCGATATTACTGTATTAAAAGGCTTTTAAGGGCATTTTAAGCTGAGACTGATTCCTCGTTTGATTATCTGGAATCAATATTTTGAGACTTGAAGTTCGAAATTCTATTGATTTTAATTCAGAGTCTTTTAAAGATGATAAGAAATGGAGATGGAGCGATGGAGCGCTTCGACGATGAAGAAGCAGGAGAAGAATGCACTATGTATTACGCTAAGATAACTTCAGAGAGAGAGAGAGAGAGATAGAGATAGAGAGAGAGAGAGATAGAGAGAGATAGAGAGAGAGAGAGAGAGAGAGAGAGAGAGAGAGAGAGAGAGAGAGAGAGAGAGAGAGAGAGAGAGAGAGAGAGAGAGAGAGAGAGAGAGATAGAGAGAGAGAGATAGAGATAGAGAGAGAGAGAGATAGAGAGAGAGAGATAGAGATAGAGAGAGAGAGAGAGAGAGATAGAGAGATAGAGAGAGAGAGAGATAGAGAGATAGAGAGATAGAGAGAGAGAGAGAGAGAGAGAGAGAGAGAGAGAGAGATAGAGAGAGAGAGAGAGAGAGAGAGAGAGAGAGAGAGAGAGAGAGAGAGAGAGAGAGAGATCAACACTATCTCCGTAATTTGGTCTTCAGATAATGAAATATAAACAGAGGTGAGAGGAGGGTAAGACTTTCTTCTCTGCCCAACAGAGAGCACAGTTCAGGAAAACAACACATCTATGAATCATCTAATAAGTTTAGTAAACTTCTAGAGTATCTAGACTTTATTACTGCTAGGCTAAAGCTCGACAAAAGGTACCTCTGGGAGTTTGCACCACCTGCTGACGTAGACTTCACTAAATGTAAACTCTGTCAACAGAGTTGGGGTGGACGGTAGAGCGACGGTCTCGCTTCATGCAGGTCGGCGTTCAATCCCCGACCGTCCAAGTGGTTGGGCACCATTCCTGCCTCCCGTCCCATCCCAAATCCTTATCCTGACCCCTTCCAAGTGCTATATAGTCGCAATGGCTTGGCGCTTTCCCCCTGGTAGTTCCTTCCTTCCTTCTGTCAGCAGAACTATTCACATACTTTGCGTCATTATATAAATCGATGTGAAAAACTCACGGAATTCAGAGATAACACCATCAATGGTGTCCAAGAAATGTGTAAGTACTTCATTCATAATGATGTGCTGCCGGGACTCTTAGCGAAGTGTCCAAAGTTTGCTTGCTGTAGGTAATGCATGCACATGGCTGTAAAGCTGTCGCCCAGTTGGGTGGGTGTGGAGCACATGGCTGTAAAGCTGTCGCCCAGTTGGGTGGGTGTGGAGCACATGACTGTAAAGCTGCCGCCCAGTTGGGTGGGTGTGGAGCACATGACTGTAAAGCTGCCGCCCAGTTGGGTGGGTGTAGAGCACATGACTGTAAAGCTGCCGCCCAGTTGGGTGGGGTGTGGAGCACATGACTGTAAAGCTGCCGCCCAGTTGGGTGGGTGTGGAGCACATGACTGTAAAGCTGCCGCCCAGTTGGGTGGGTGTGGAGCAAATGACTGTAAAGCTGCCGCCCAGTTGGGTGGGTGTGGAGCACATGACTGTAAAGCTGCCGCCCAGTTGGGTGGGTGTGGAGCACATGACTGTAAAGCTGCCGCCCAGTTGGGTGGGTGTGGAGCACATGACTGTAAAGCTGCCGCCCAGTTGGGTGGGTGTGGAGCACATGACTGTAAAGCTGTCGCCCAGTTGGGTGGGTGTGGAGCACATGACTGTAAAGCTGCCGCCCAGTTGGGTGGGTGTGGAGCACATGACTGTAAAGCTGCCGCCCAGTTGGGTGGGTGTGGAGCAAATGACTGTAAAGCTGCCGCCCAGTTGGGTGGGTGTGGAGCACATGACTGTAAAGCTGCCGCCCAGTTGGGTGGGTGTGGAGCAAATGACTGTAAAGCTGCCGCCCAGTTGGGTGGGTGTGGAGCACATGACTGTAAAGCTGCCGCCCAGTTGGGTGGGTGTGGAGCACATGACTGTAAAGCTGCCGCCCAGTTGGGTGGGTGTGGAGCACATGACTGTAAAGCTGGCGCCCAGTTGGGTGGGTGTGGAGCACATGACTGTAAAGCTGCCGCCCAGTTGGGTGAGTGTGGAGCACATGACTGTAAAGCTGCCGCCCAGTTGGGTGGGTGTGGAGCAAATGACTGTAAAGCTGCCTCCCAGTTGGGTGGGTGTGGAGCACCTGACTGTAAAGCTGCCGCCCAGTTGGGTGGGTGTGGAGCAAGACTAGTAACTGTGAGACTGACTCACGGGAGATGTAACCTGCCTTGTCCTGAAGAACAAGGCAGTTTTCCACTTTGTGTGAAGGAAAAAAAAATCTTCCATAACTCAAAGACGTTACTTCAACTCCAAGCAAAAATTATTAGTCATTATGAGTTAAGGCGCAACAACATTTCAAGAGGCTGATGAAGTGCATCTTTAAAGTTCAAAGATGGTGTGTGTGTGTGATGCTGCGAAGATGATAAAATATGGGAGGGAATTACGGCTGAAGCAATGATGCTTATCATGGCTACCAGGTGTGTGGGGGCGTCCGGGTTTAGGGGGAGGCGGGGAGGAGGGTGGAAAGGTAGCAAAGAGTGTGTGTGTGAGAGAGAGAGAGAGAGAGAGAGAGAGAGAGAGAGAGAGAGAGAGAGAGAGAGAGAGAGAGAGAGAGAGAGAGAGAGAGAGAGTTTAGTTACTCTCCTGTTTGTACAAGGAGAGTTATATTTCTGGAGGTAAGGAGAGTTAAATTGGGTCAGATATCTCAGCAGGTTTCTAACAATGTGGGTTACATTCCTGGACTCCACCTTCCACCTCTGACAGTACCTCAAGCAAGTTGCAGAACCTGTCGTTCCGGATCAGGGGACCAGCATCTTGCTTCGAAAATAGGTTTGCCAGTAGGTCAGTATATCTTGATTGCCTGTTGAAGCGGTCCCATCTTGGGGGCTTACTGCTGGGATTGTGTTCAAGGATGAAAATCCCTGTCGGTCATCAACCACCCACCGAAACTACGACGTTGGTACAACGTTCGAACAAGTTTTAACACCTCCTAACCAATTATAACAACCAATATAGCAAGTTGTAACAACGTTCTAATACGTCATAAACACGTTAAGCCAAGATGTAACAACTTTATTACAAGTAACAAGCGGAAAATAGAGACATTTACGGTTTGTGTTTCCAGGGCTGCAGGGTCTTCGAAGCCTCTTCCAGGAAATGGAAGAAAGCCTCCTCTTCCTCTTCCTGTTGACAGCTTACTGCTTGTGTCTAAAGAGCCTCTAAGAACCGGTCTAACTTTTAGAGTTTCTCTACTCGATGACAATCTCGTCTGTGATGGTTCATAATGTACGCTGAACGTTGTTTTCTCTAACTACTCCATGCCTTGAATTAGGTCACAGTACCTACAGGTCACAGTACCTACAGGACACAGTACCTACAGCACAGAGTACCTACAGGACACAGTACCTACAGGACACAGTACCTACAAGTCACAGTACCTACAGTACACAGTACCTACAGCACACAGTACCTACAGGACACAGTACCTACAGAACACAGTACCTACAGCACACAGTACCTACAGCACACAGTACCTACAGCACACAGTACCCACAAGACACAGTACCTACAGCACACAGTACCTACAGGACATAGTACCTACAGAACACAGTACCCACAAGACACAGTACCTACAGCACACAGTACCTACAGGACACAGTACCTACAGGACACAGTACCTACAAGACACAGTACCTACAGTACACAGTACCTACAGCACACAGTACCTACAGGACACAGTACCTACAGAACACAGTACCTACAGTACACAGTACCTACAGCACACAGTACCTACAGCACACAGTACCTACAGCACACAGTACCCACAAGACACAGTACCTACAGCACACAGTACCTACAGCACACAGTACCTACAGCACACAGTACCCACAAGACACAGTACCTACAGCACACAGTACCTACAGGACACAGTACCTACAGAACACAGTACCCACAAGACACAGTACCTACAGCACACAGTACCTACAGGACACAGTACCTACAAGACACAGTACCTACAGCACACAGTACCTACAGAACACAGTACCTACAGTACACAGTACTTACAGAACACAGTACCTACAGCACACAGTACCACAATTTCTCCCATGAATTTTGTGTACGAGATATAAGTTAAAACATCCCCCAGGTACAACATGGGGGAGAAGTGTGCTAACTTAATAGGTAATCTACACTTTCTCCCATCATCTCACTATCATCTATATCTCTCACTATCTACCTGTAAATCATATCTATATATCTATCTCTCCGATCTCCATCACAAAGATGTGTTTTTTAACGTTTAAAAAAAACAGTATAATAACAGCACTGGTTTTTTTTTCCAAGCTCACGTAAACACGGAAGCATCTTGAAACGTCGCTCGACTTCACCTGAGAGAATATCTTCATTAAGTAAAGAGGGGGGATGAATATACCTTTATTACTCGGGAGGATGACCCCCTTGTGTGTATAATGATGCCTTGATTAATTAACATCTGATGTTTACCTGGATACTGTTGCGAGGATGGCAAGGATATAGCCGAGGAGAGTGACTTCATAATGCTTGCATTACGTTATTTAAAATGTGTACAAAAGTGAGGAGCTCTGAGAATGGGGGAGAGAGAGAGAGAGAGAGAGAGAGAGAGAGAGAGAGAGAGAGAGAGAGAGAGAGAGAGAGAGAGAGAGAGAGAGAGAGAGAGAGAGAGAGAGAGAGAGAGAGAGAGAGAGAGAGAGAGAGAGAGAGAGAGAGAGAGAGAGAGAGAGAGAGAGAGAGAGAGAGAGAGAGAGAGAGAGAGAGAGAGACAGAGAGAGAGAGAGAGAGAGAGACAGAGAGAGAGAGAGAGAGAGAGAGAGAGAGAGAGAGAGAGAGAGAGAGAGAGAGAGAGAGAGAGAGAGAGAGAGAGAGAGAGAGAGATCACTTTAGAGAGAGACTTAAGAGATCACTTTAAAAACACAAACCCCCACATTCCTAAACAGATAAGACAACGCTTCAATATAAATATTGATTACATTTGTAATTGTGTTCCAGCCTTTTGGTTATTATTATTATTATTATTAAATTATCATCCACACTTCCGTGGAAATAAAACTTTTCATTCAGCTGGGCTCTATAGGAGATTCGAACCCTGGACCCCAGGCGTGTGAGGCAGAAGCTCTATCCACTTAGAGTGTA